TTAGTCCTCACATTGTGGATAACGGTAGCCAGATAATGGTTTACCTCAAACAGCAGCACCTGACCAACCATGTTTGGGAAATTAAGCAAGGTCACACCTGATTAGTACTTGACTGGGATTTTAAGCTAGACTAGAACTGTGAATTTGAGGGGGAAATTCCAGAATGTATTGCAGCAGAGAAAACTATATGGACATATCCATGAAGTCATGGGAAGTTTACCTAAAGGGAGCTGTTAATGTTTTTATGGATGTCTATGGATATTCTTAGTCATTCAATTGATAGTTGTCCCAAAGGTGTTTTGTTCCAAAGGTGTTTTGTCAAAATGAACTTTCAGATTCGGGTTTTCCCCACCCAAACGAAAGTTCAAGCCCCTGCCCAGCACCCACATGTCCATCACATTGTCCAATCAGCCACCACCCCAACTGGAGATGCCTCCCAGTCACACCACTCCAGGTGCAGGGCAAGTTGTCCTTGACTCTCTGAGAAAGGAATGTTATTTTGACTATCTCTCTCTCACTCCATATAATCCCCCCTCCCAATTTCTCACAGCATTAAATGTGGCAGGTCTGAAGGCCCAATGCAAAAGATGGCTTCAAGGCCTGACAACTGGACTTTTTTTTTTTAAGATGTTTTATTTCTCATCCAAGAAGCTTCCTCAGTTTTCTTCTTCTAAAAAAGCAAAACATCTTGAAGGAAAAACAAAGAAAGTCCAGTTGCCTTTTGAAAAAGCACCTGGATTTTTATGGGTGTTTAGATAATATAGGAAACCTTGCTACCTGACAGGATAGGTAAGGGAATGTATGATGTCAGGTGTTTTTACTTAAATTATGGTATTTGAAACCTATACATATTAAATATAAGTTGCAAACTTGATGTCACATTGCATTAATAGTTCTTCTATAATGCGCATTTATTTTAGTTTCCTAAATAAAACCCTTTGGAATAGTCTCCATTACATTTCATTACTATTTTTCTAACCTTTCAAGATATTTTCTTCCTCTTTATCCCATCCGCTTTTGTACCAATTGCAGACTTGCTAAACCAGGGGTGTCAAACTCAAGGCCCGGGTCCCAGATCCGGCCTGCGGGGTGCTCAAATCTGGCCTGTGGGGCCAGCCTGGAAATGGCAAAGGATTGGCCCACGGTGCCTCTGGCAGCCAAAATGGGGTGATGGAGGTTGTGTGTGGCTCCCTGTGCCCTTTTTCAGGCTGGACTGTGTCCTGCAGCACTCTGCCAGCCAAAATGGGGAAGAGGGGGGGATCACACACAGCCCCCATGCCCCCATTTTGAGCCTGGGCAGTGTCCTGCAGAACTGTGCCAGCCAAAACAGGGTGTGGGAGCCCGTGCCCAATTTTGGCCAGCAGGGTACTGCAGGAGATGTCCATTCTATCTCCTCCCTGGCCGGCCCACGGAAGAAAACTACAATGCTGATCCGGTCCTCGAAGAAATCCAGTTTGACACTCCTCTGCTAAACATTCCCTCCATTTATTTATCTCAATAATTAATGATGCCCAGAGCTAGGAGTTTGATCCTGACCGGCTCAAAGTTGACTCAACCTTCTATCCTTCCAAGGTTGGTAAAATGAGGACCCAGATTGTTGGGGGGGGGGGATATGCTAACATTTCCAAATGGCTCTGTGAGTACTGTAAGGCACTATGGAGTGGTATCTAAGTGCTATTAATGATGGGTAGAGGACCCAGGACTGATATTTGTTGGACCATGTTTTGGGATCCTTTTAATCTGCTGATGAGCATTCAAGTATGACTTTCAAGGATTAGCCTCTTAATTGTCATGTCATCCCACCTATATTAACTAGGCCGCTAATCAGTATGCTCAGGGGTAGCTGCGAAACGCTTTGCTGAAGTCAGAATAAATCATGCCTATGGCAATTTCAGAATGTATTAAGGAAGATGCAAGACTTCTTTTAACTAATTCTTAAAATTAATCAAGATACTAGCTGGAATAAGAAAATATGAATGTGGTCTCTATACATATAAAAATAATTAGTCATGTGAAAGATTTTTTTGCCCCGTTATTTCAGGTAGAATAATAATAAAAGTACTTAAGAGTATAAAAACTTGGTTGCACACACACAAATATATTTTTGCATTGCTGGGTTCCTTTTCATATGCATGTTTATTAGTTTGTTATTGAAAGTTGAAGTTCTTTCTTTTTCGCTCAGTTGGGCCGACATGCTTCAAACATTTCCCAGCTAAATTTAGAGTTGTCAGCAGAGCTATTCTGTTGGTTGCATTGTAGAGGAAGGCCAGCAGAAGCAATTTTGATCTTCTGATTTTTTTTCCGCTTATTGCTGATCTTTATGAATATTGCAACTTTTAAGAATTGCAGTGTGATATATGTTGTTCTTCTTTCCTCACCATTTTTCCCCGCTTTAGTCAGCTGCTGGCAGGAATTTTGTTCTTCTTTATTCAGCTTATGGTTTGGGTAGCTTTTCAGCTAAAGTGGTCAATAATGTTATAACATACAGAAAAATCAACAAATTATGCGGCTAGGACTTTTGTACTACTGCAGAGCCAGTCCATCCCAATGAAATCAATTCATGAATCCCTTCCAAAGTCATCAAAGTCAAGTGATGAAACGTTAGAATGTGGTCTATGTGTATGATCCAACCTGGAGAGAAACATGAGGGTGTAATTTCTCAAAAATGAAACTAACCTGTTCCCAAAGGTACTACTATTTTGGAGTTGATGGCAATATGACAAGTTATTCTATGCTTTATGACTGAGAAATGGATTCATGTTCAGGATCAATCCAGTGACAAATATACTACAAGCCCCCGGAAATGTACTTACGATCGAAACATCAATTTGTTTTTATTTTTATTAAGTTTATGAGCACATATTTAAGGCCAGAAAGCACATAAAAAATGACAGAATCATGAAATAAAATAAAATAAAAAAGAAGTCTTTATTCTTTTGGCTCAACTGTAGTGTAGCTTACCGTTCTTTATGGTAATAGCATTTTCTCTGCATGCAGTTCACCAAGACACAAAGTCAACAGTTTCAGTAAAAGAAGGAATTAACATTTAATTTTTCTTTGTGGATGGAATACAAAAAAAATGTCCTGATGGAATCAAATATACAAGTTAGCTACTTTTTTTTTTTTGAGGGGGGGAATAATAATTGTGAAATCGCGTATAATATTTAAAAGACTTCTAGTGCAGCATGAATCAATAAGAAGAATAATAGTCTATGTAAACAAACACTGGAAAAGATTAAGGATGTTGAATAATAAGACTAACTGCTGATTCAGGCAGTGCTAGAATTTCAAACAAATCTTTCCCACCACATTTCAATTACAAGTTATAGCTATTTGGAAGCAAGTGCATTTTGGACTCAGTCTGGAAAAAATCACATTAAGATGTGTGCAAAAATACAGTACTAATTTAAAAAAAAAAAAAAAGCAACCCAGAAACCTAACATTCTCCCATACCTTTTTTCCCCGGTATTTTCCCACTTTGTGAAATTCTTCAATTAAAAAGTGCTGTGAATAAAAGGACCTTCTGCGACGCTGACCTGAAAATCAGTTTTGTCGTTTATGTACAAAATGCTGAAAAATAAAACTGAATGGAAATTTGTACACTATTTATAGTTTTCCATAGAAAATGTTTAACCAGTTATTTTGAACAGATTATGCTGTTTGCAATATGAAGTGTACAGCTGGCTACGCACTGTAGTATACTCACATAAAATTCCAGAGAAGAATAAAAGAAGTTAGGGCAGAGCAAAAAGCTTCCCTCCCTCCCTCCCAAACCCCCAACCCCACTAGCTGCAAACTATTGCTTGATGAAATGAGGAATGATGTCTGGTTGAACAATTTTGTTTCACTTTTACCATCAACATATGGCTTCCCATATTAGATTTCTGAACAAATCCAAGAAAAATACAGTAGCGAAGGCAAGATAAACAACATGCATCAGTGATAGCCTCCAAACTACTTATAATGGTACAGAATACATCATATTTTCCTGTTCAAGGTTTGCGAACTACACTTATTGTGGTACATATTTGATGCAATCAATATTGTGCACAGGTCATTTATTCCTTTGCTCAAACATGCACCACAGGGTTAAAGTAACTATTTACATAGACAGCTTTATCTCATTGACACATACAATGTCAACCTTGCTGAGAGCAGAAGATGGCTAAACAATACCGCAGGAGAAAGTAAAAACTAACTTACGGATGTCCGACTTCCCCCATCCCCTTATTGGACAGTACAGTGCTCCAGATTAATGTAAGGGATGCTCCGGGATTCTTAAGAAGATTCTTCCCATATCTCCACCCAATTTTACAATTAAGAGTACAATTTATATATGCTCTTCCTCTAAAGTATGGCCTCTGAACTCAGTGGGAATGATGGATCCAGTATCTACACATGGATGTACACTATAGTCAATGTTCATGTCACCTTCATAATGGAATCGTTTGGAGGAGGAGGAGGAGGAGGGGAGGAGAAGGAGTGGGGAGGAAAAAAATCTGTTGATTTTATGAGACTTACAGGCACATAAGAATTGTCAGGATGAGACATAAAGATCTATATTATTTTTAAGCACCTTGGGATCTGGAGCCATCCTGAAACACAGAAGTCTTTGAAACTCTTGTGCAAAGAAGTCCTACATGTTTCCATGCATGGTCTACAAGTGCAGCATGCCTTCATGCAAATCACTTCTGCCTATACATTACAAGAGAATCAAGACAGGACAGCTGGTCCTCCTATCCCCCACCCCCCTTGACCCTGGAATCCCCCTCCCCACCCACCCCCCACAACATAAAACCCATTTACAAAAATAGTCACATATAATAGTAAACAACCTGTGGATTAAAAAAACGACAACTTCACCAACAAGGGGCTTTTTTGTAAAAATTATGGCAAACGTGTGGCAGTTGGAATGCAAACAGCGGATACAATTATTGTTTCTGAGTGTTTTATGATCAACACAGGTCAATTCTAGGTTTGCATCTCTTTTTTACTGATCCCTACAGTCTGGATAGCCATTTTTCTTTTCCTCTTCAGCAGTGTCAGCTGGGAATGCCAACAGGAGACGCCTGTCAAAAGTGCCATCCCTGTTTTACAGAGCAGCATTTGAATTGACAAGGGGTCACTATCTTGTTAATAGGCACTGACCTTAAGTATATAGCTAACATTTGTATGTATATATATATACATATATATATATACATACATATATATTTATAGATATTTTTATGTGTGTATGTCTGTTTAAGTGTGCAAAAACAGTCAGTTTGGCATAAACCTCCTACAGGAGTCCTTTTGAAATAATACTTTACTTTCTCAAGCTGTAAACAATTTGTCATACAGGTATAATTCATTTATTTTTTATAGTCCCTGACATCTTTACCTCTATCTTCTTTTTCTGATTTGTCTTTCTCATATTTATCTTTGTCGGGCTTTGTAACGCTATCGTAGGAAGGTGGAGAGGTGGTGGAGGGGGTCATATCGTTTTTTTCAGGGGTAGAATTGTCATTTAGCTTATCAATGATCATATCTTCTTTGATAACTGTGCCTTCTTTAATTCTATCTTTATTAAACATGCAGGAAACTTTTTTAACTTTTAGCCTTAAGAGGTAGCACCTAAAGGCTCGCTGAATAATAACAGCGGATACTTCCTCTTGTTTTCGTTTCAATGTGGTGGTAATTGGTTCATAAGAGGCTTTGGAAGGGTTGGCAGCCATAAACCGGTCTTCCATTTGCACTCGGAGGGCGTCCATTTCATCGCTTTCACCCAAGACACGTTTGGTGAAAGCAAATAAGATGTCAAGGCAGTGGATTCTATCGCCACTCACCATGGGCAGGTCCATCGCAATAAGCTGAACTTTGTTTGGTTTTGGTATTAGAAGAGGAGGATCCAAAGAGGCTGCAAAATCAGAGAGTTTGGCAAATTCTATGAACTGGGTTGCATCTGGATCGAACTTTTCCCAGACTTCATAGAACATCTCAAAATCATCCTCGCTCAGAGGTTCAGCACTTTCTTCGGTAGCCACACTGAAGTTCTCCAAAATGACAGCAATGTACATGTTCACTACAACTAAAAATGAGATGATAATGTAGCTGACAAAGAAGAAAATCCCAACCGAAGGATTGCCACAGTCTCCCTTGACTGAGCTACCCGGATGGTCTATCTCAGGGTCACAATCTGGAGGCCCGCTGTTTAGAATGGGCGCTAGCAAGCCATCCCAGCCAGCAGAGGTGGTAATTTGGAAAAGACAAAGCATGCTGTTGCCAAAAGTTTCAAAATTGAACAAGTCATCAATACCAACTTCTCTCTTCACATAGGCAAAGTTGGACATTCCAAATATGGCATAGATGAACATGACCAGGAAAAGCAGGAGACCAATGTTGAACAAGGCAGGGAGAGACATCATCAAGGCAAAAAGCAGAGTGCGGATCCCCTTTGCCCCCTTGATTAGACGCAGGATTCGACCTATCCTGGCAAGTCGAATTACTCGGAACAAGGTAGGGGACACAAAATATTTCTCAATAATCTCTGCGAGGAACATACCTATAAACAAACATTAAATGCCTATTAATTTGAAATGAAGATTTATAACTTTAATTAGAATGTAATTACAATCTTGTATGAAAATGTAAAGAATGAAATCTATCAGTATTTTAAATATTAAAATCATCTGTTAATTTCTCATAGTTTTCATTTATAATATGTTATATCTTTTACTACAATGCAAATTTTCTTACCTACAATAGATAAGATGACAACCACAAAATCAAAAATATTCCAGCCTATTGTAAAATAATAATAGCGGAGTGAAATCAGTTTCAAGACACATTCTCCAGTGAAAAGGACAATGAAGATAAAATTAATCCGATACAAAATAGTTTCCATTGCATCGGTTTGGTCATCAGTTTCTACCATCATGGTAACCATGTTAAGGCAGATAAGAATCATGATGCTGATGTCGAAGGCTTGTTTTGTTACAAAATCAAAGACCATGCCTTGAAATTTGTTCTGCAGTTAAAAAAAATAAGGATTATTCATGTATCTCACGATCAGTTATAGACAATTATAATCTATATATTAATGATCTGAAACTTCTATAAACTCATTCTACAGTATACTAGTCAAATTGTACCGATAGAAGGTGCAACAAGAAAAGAATGCCACTATGTTCCCGGAAAATCAGTTAGCACTCCATAAGTGTGAAGTTATGAAATATGAAGCATTATGAAGCATATCCATTAATAGCCATCCTGTGGGATTTCACAGTCTCATTGAATACCTGAATCAGATACCAAAATTTCCCCCCCAAAAATATGACCTCCCTGGATAATAAGCCCAATCGGGCTTTTGAGAGCATGCGCTAAAATATGCCATCCCCTGAAAATAAGCTCTCCCCGAAAATATTGGAACATAGCAGTAGCCATGAGGTGACCATGATCGCCGCCTCCTGCACCTCAAAAATAATAAGACCTCCCCAAAAATAAGGTCAAGTGCTTATTTCAGGGGTCAAAAGAAAATATTTTGGGGAAACATGATAGGAATATCATAACAATTACTGCTGTAACCCTGTTTAGATTTGTTAATGCTAGATTGGTTTGCTCATCCCCAAATTCATTTAAATATAAAGGACATAGCCTTCAGAGCTCTTCCAATTATACTGCAGAATTTTGGCGGCATAATTATTGAAAATCTGTAAAATGTTTTTTCCAATGTGTCTGATCTAGAAACCATTGAAAACTGTAGAGTAATCCAGGGTTCTCCAACCCCCAAACCGCAGCCTGCTATTGGGTCATGGCCTGTTGGGAAGCTTCATTTGCACATGTGTGGGATTAGGTTGAGCGCGCAAATCTGTCCCCTCCACTCTGCTGCCGCCATGCACCACCATCGCCAGTCCATGCAGCCAAAAAGGTTGGGGACTGCTGGCATAATCCCTAAATAGGTTTAACATAGTTTAAGAAAATAAGAAGCAACTCTCCAAAATGGAAAATAACCATATGATGTCATCCACTGTCGATCTCAGTTACTTAACGAAAGGCTTTGCTCATAAAAACATTACCGTATTTTTCGGAGTATAAGACGCACCTTTTCCCCTCAAAACAAGAAGGTGAAAATTTGGGTGTGTCTTATACAGTGAAGCCAGCATTTTTGCCCTATCGAAACCCTTTGCAAAAATTTATATGCAGAGTTTGGGAGGCTTGCAAAGGACTCGGGAGGGCAAAAAAGAGCACTCCCCAGCCCCCAGGAGCACTCTACAAGCCATCCAAAGCCTCTGAATCCCCCCCCCTTTTTTTTCAAAGAACGAGGCATTCAGAGGGTTTGGGAGGCCTCCAGAGTGCAAAAAAAAATGTGTTTTTTTTAATTTACCTCTTCAAAATCATGGTGTGTATTATACTCTGGTGTGTCTTATAGTCCCCAAAATACGATAATTCTTTAAAGGTGTATTATTTTTTCTGAACCCACCCCTTCCTCAGTTTAGTTTAAAAAGATTTCGGGGGATTATAAGGAGTAAATTGCTTTCCAACTTTAGCACACATTTTGAAAAACAGTGAGTACAATGGGGGAAAAAAACCACACATAACACTTACTGCTGGCCTTGGTATAGGTTTCTGTGGTTTCTTGGAGCCCAGTTTTTTCATTGCATTATAGTATTTTTTCTGTTCTTCTGTCATAAAGATGTCTTGACCTCCAAAGTAAAAAGGAGAAACAAATACTAGTTACAACCAGATATTTCCATTCCATTTTTCTTTCTGTTTTTCTATACATTGACTTTTATTTGATGGGCAATCTCTTTCCTTGGTCTGCCTATTACAAAAGCAAAAGCCAAGCACGTGGGGGAGAAGCAATAGCAATAGCAGTTAGACTTATATACCGCTTCATAGGTTTCTCTAACCTCTCTAAGCGGTTTACAGAGTCAGCATATCGCCCCCACAATCTGGGCCCTCATTTTACCCACCTCGGAAGGATGGAAGGCTGAGTCAACCCTGAGCCGGTGAGATTTGAACTGCTGAACTGCAGATAGCAGTCAGCTGAAGTGGCCTGCAGTACTGCACTCTACCCACTGCGCCACCTCGGCTCTAAAACAAACGGTAGAAGCAGCCCCAAATGCAAGCCGTGCTCCTTTGTACAAGGGTTGATGTATGCATGGATGTACAGGTGTGAAGAGTTTCAATCTGGAAGCACCCACCCACTCTTTTGCCCTTCCCTTCATTAGGGGTGGCTCCCTAATGGCTAGAGAACAGTGCATCCTTCTCCCATAGTTCAGGCAGGGTTAGGAATTTAATCTCAGCAAAGTTACAGCAGATTGAAAAAAAAGTGTAGTGACTACAGTAGTCTCTCAGCACTGCCACCATCATTTCTGTCGCTGTTATTATCATCCTGTATTAAAGGTTTGTCTAAATTTCCCATATCTTACTTCAAAATAAAATACCATAAAAAACATCCATAGTTGGATAAAACGTCAGATAGTAAAACATCCAAGTTAAGAAATAAATAAATGAACAATTGGAAAAAAAAACTTTTCAGCTCTCGTGATACAAGTACCTTCAACAGCTAAAAACCAAAACAGACCAAAACTCAAAGCCCATATTTAAAAACGAAAAGCATGATAAAAAAGATAAGTATGGAAAAGGATCATATCCCAAATGACTTCCAGAAGTGTTCATCTTCTGTTAATTTCCAGAAAGTCATTACCAAGAGTAACTATTTATTATTTATCTAGAAAGAGTGCAGAGAAGAGCAACAAAAATGATTAGGGGACTGGAGGCTAAAACATATGAGGAATGGTTGCAGGAACTGGGTATGTCTAGTTTAATGAAAAGAAGGACTAGGGGAGAAATGATAGCAGTGTTCCAATATCTCAGGGGTTGCCACAAAGAAGAGGGAGTCAAACTATTCTCCAAAGCACCTGAAGGCAGAACAAGAAGCAATGGGTGGAAACTAATCAAGGAGAGAAGCAACTTAGAACTGAGAAGAAATTTCCTGACAGTTAAAACAATTAATCAGTGGAACAGCTTGCCTCCAGAAGTTGTGAATACCCCAACACTGGAAGTCTTTAAGAAGATGTTGGATAGCCATTTGTCCAAAATGGTATAGGGTTTCCTGCCTAGGCAGGGGGTTGGACTAGAAGACCTCCAAGATCCCTTCCAACTCTGCTATTGTATTGTATTGTATTGAGCAGGTTCTGCCATGTTCTGGAGAACCGGAACCAGAAATTTTGAGTAGTTGGGAGAAACAGCAAATACCACCTCTGGCTGGCCCCAGAGTGGGGTGGGAATGGAGAATTGGTCCCTTCCAACTCTGCTATTGTATTGTATTTAGATTTACGAGATGTTTATGCATATTTATATAAAGTAGTGCATTATCTTACAATGTAATTGTTTATGTCTCTGGCATTTAAAACTAACTCAATCTTTCATTTCATGTATTGGTTTTAACACACTGTATGCTTCTTTTTTCCAGTGGCAATTTTAGAATTCATGTTTACAACTTATGTTTAGGTTGTACACATTGGAGTAATAATTGATACTTGAAAGAAAGAAAAATCAGAAGAATTACACAAAGCACAATGTTTTTGTTAAAACAAAACCTGTGATAATCTGCTGAAATCACAGTGATAGAATACTTATCTTCTTTTTTTGCTGATTGAAGTTATCTATGATGACACCAATAAATAAATTCAAAGTGAAGAAGGATCCAAAGATAATAAAGATGACAAAATAAAGATACATATAAAGGTTATCCTCGTAATGTGGCTGCTGTTCCACCTGCAATGGAAACAAATTTAGAAATAGAAAACTGTGTGGAAAAATATATTCAATTCTATAAAATGTATGGGTATTATTTTTATGAAGTATGAACCCTGGGTGAAGCCTTACCGTATTTAGTCTTTTTATGATGCCGTTATTAAGAATAGCCATAGAGAAGGGTTTGATCAATTTTTATTTTAACTTTAAATAGAGTATTTATGTACAATTATTTTCTCAGTTATTACTCACTTTTTTCTATTGGCTCTCCTCTCTGAAATCCACTGATATAGATTTCATGCTAGACTACATGGCTTTTGCTAATAGACAATTGAGGTGTTTATATTCAAAGAAATAGTTAAAAAGAAAGACACATTCTGAGCTTAGGAGAAAGTGAGAAGAAACTGAATGGAAATGAATGAAACAGACTTTCTTGATGAGACAGAAGGCTGCCTATACTGTCTGCTAATTATGATGCTCACAATGTGCTGATGCATTTGAAAATGTTAGCTTTAAGCATGCCACAATTTTTTGGGGGGACCACCAATCATTAGGAAAGAGTTTTATTGTTTTCTTGGAAAAGAGTCATTTCAACAAAAGAAGATCTCCTATTAGGGTGTGTAATTTGTAGCTACGGAACTGTAACTCACCTAGTTTCTTGAAACTGCTTACCTGCACTTACACATATACACAAAAATATAATTAAACAAAAAGTGTATGTTGTTGTATGTGTCTGTATGTTTTTGACATCTGATTCTTTTTTCTTCTCAGAAATAGGATAGTAGAATAAATTATTATAGAAAACCTTATCAGAAGGCATCTGAAATAGAGTCTTTTTACTGATCTTAATGCGCAAAGCAAATGTTTTAGATTTTATGTCTTAATTTCTATCATATCTATATCAGATTATATTTTAAATATTCTTGACCTGTATTATTGTTACAGATGAATGCCGTAAATGTGCATTTATCTAGTTCCTATTCTGGGAATGCTTTGCATCAGTTGCTCATTTACTGCAATGAAAAAATTAGAGTCTTCATTCTAATGAAAAAAAAAATGAGAATTATGTACGGCTAAGATAATCTGATTTTTTTAAACAGCAGAGTATGACAGGATTGGGTTATTATTATTTTTTACTTGCACTGCTTGACCATCAAACTGGACCAAAAGATACATTGCTATTTTTATAACTAGCATAGGGCAATATGTTCTCATTACTTCCAGTCATTATCCTTTGATAGGAAAGCATTCCTGTATTTCCTCGTGGGCTTTAGGCACACTGGAGTGTTTGAGACCCATTTTTTAAAATCTTTGTTTACATTGAAGGAGTAGGGCAAGGATTGGAAGATTTAATAGCAAAAATGGGTGCCTTAAGCCTTTATGGCATCCATTTTACCTCTTAAAAATTCCCACTCCTGTTTTTCCTGTTTCTGGGGAGAGGTTATGACTCCATTCTTACCTCTTAAATTATCCCCTAAGGTAAAATACACTGGGAAACAAACAGCCAAACAAGAAGTATCTTGTACACTGGGAAACAAACAACACAGAATTATCTTCCAGCTATAACCTGCTCACTCCTATCTCTCATCCCAGCATCTTACCTGACTTGCCTCCTTGAAAAAGAAAAGAAAGCAGACAAACACTATGATCAGTGGCAAGTTTGCTTTAATCCTACTTTACTAGCCTTAATTTGAAAAAGAATTGGAAATGCTTCTAAGGAAACACTTGCTGATCTGATAAATAGCTATGGAGGATATGGATGCAAGTATCCATGTAGTAAACCCACTGTATTTGGGCTACCAGGCAATTACAAGATGGTACCAAAAATAGCAAATGTTATGTATCTCTTCTCTGCCGTCTTGTAGCCAATCATATTTTTGCAGTTCAATACTGGTTGCCCTACCCAATAGCATACTTACATTTCGTGAATCTACAGCTGCGTACATGATGTCCATCCAGCCTTTGAAGGTGGCCTGCAAGCAGAAGTCAGGCGATTATATTTTAAGCAAGGGACTAAAAGCATACAGTACATAATTCCTCAACGCTCATGTTGTGTAAATTATAAATGTCTTTTAGAAGACTCCATGACCCCCCTGCCAGTTACATTTCGTGAATCTACAGCTGCATACATGATGTCCATCCAGCCTTTCAACCCACATATATTCTATTTGGAAGAATTCTTGAGGAGTTGGTACCAGATTGTGTTACAAGAAATAAAAAAGGCAAGTAATTTCCACTCAGCTCTGTTGAATTTCACCCAAAGTTGTGTTCTGTTTAGCCTCCATTGCTAGGCTAGTACAACACTGAAAAACGGCCATTCTCTATATCCAAATGTCTCTTCGCTGGTTATGGATAATTTACTTTATTAAATAGGGGTAAATGAGATTGCTTGATGTGTAGTGAAATAAATAAACGACCTATCACAGGTGCATCTGCATTTTACTAATGATCATTTTGGTTCATGTATAAGATTTATAACAGGTACACTTTAGAGAAGAGCTTAGAAGAAAAAGATTAAGGGATGCCACCTATGATGCAATCAATCCACTTCAAATCCTGGCAGCTGAATCATTTGTAAAGTGACTGACAGTCCACATTGATGGAATTTTCTAATAAAAGAAAAACCTGCTAAAAAGAGGAAATAAAACAGTTGTGTTGTTCAAATTTTAATATAGAAAGAATAACTACTTACTACTTGAAGCAGAGAGAGGTAGCCAAGTCCCACATTATCGAAATTGACTTTTACATTTTTCCATCTAGCTGTTTCATTTCTTTCGATGAGATTCTCACATTCAGTCTGATTGTCAACTTCATCAATGCTGAACATTTCCCCAGTTGTGGTGTTAACACAGTGGTAGAACTTGCCAGCGAACAGATTCACTCCCATAATGCTAAAGATTAGCCAGAATATAAGACATACAAGGAGCACATTCATGATAGATGGAATTGCTCCCAAGAGAGCATTCACCACTACCTGTAATACAAAGAAATAAACACATAAAGCCAAAGAAGTGAAAACATATTTGCTAAAGTGAGACATGAAAAGGGGAATTTCTAATTCATAGTATTGCTTCTTGGCCATTTTGTGCTACAATTTAATTGTTAAAATTTAGGGAAAGATTTGAGGAAGAAAGATTTCCCAAAATTTAGCTTCACAAAATTGAAGAGGAAGGACCATAACATATGGCAGAACATGTATTGAAGGTTTTATAACTCAAGTGCAGTACCATATCAATACTCTAACCCTAAAAATACTCTTTTCTTACACATTTGGAGAACCAAATTGCAAGTCAGAAGAAAATGAATTCTAAGGAAATATTAGCATTTAAATTTCAAATAACCCTCAATATGGTCATCATTACACTGCTCAATCATCTCCTCCTTATAGTCTCTGTAGCCAAGTGGCAAGGACAGTCCAGGTGCCATAATGAAGCAACAGAAGCTTATGAAAAGTAATTTTCCAGTCAGTTAATATGTTACCTTGACAACACATCAAGAAAACAAGCAGCTGAAGTTCTGAGTTAACGCAGAAACATACCGTATATATATATATATATATTCGGCTCTCCAAATATTTCAGTTGTTTTTTTTTACTAGTAGCAAAAGGTCTAGATAGATCTGTGAAACTAGTCTGCAGCTAATTAGTTCATGGTTATTTCTCACTAATATATATCCTGGCTGGGATATGAACTCCAAGGATTTGGTTGGTCCATCAGCCATGGAGCAGGTCTCCACGCAATCTTTTGATTTTTCAAATCAAGGAGCTTCTTTAAATGATTTTTTAAAATCTGGGGAAAGGGTACAACAGACAAGATTAAATGTGGCACAATTTTAGCTAGCCTTTTTTAGTCAGATAGCCACCATTTCAGAGCTGTGATTTAAATGAAAATAAATAATCTGACAATGGGGTAAATAACTTCAGACACTGCCTAGATACACTGGAATTATTTCTCTCATGTTGCCTAGAGGCTAAGGGAATAGAAGTAGCATGTTGCCCAGGGCCATTTTAAATGAAATTTAAACTAGTGGCTTTGAGATACACATTTGTAGTATACCTTTAAGAAAATAATTTGCTTCAAGCATATGTTATTTCATATTTTTCTTACCCTCATTCCTTCGAACCGTGACAAGGCTCTTAGAGGTCTTAAAGCTCTTAAAGTCCTAAGAGATTTAATTGCACCAAGTTCAGAGTAGCCCAAGGCATTCGCTGTTAAGCTAACGATAGAGACCTACACATGAATAAAAAGAGAAAAGAAAGTAATCTACTGTGTGAATAATAGTCAGCATTTCAAGAAATCTCTAGTAACACCACTTCTCTCCAGTCTGTCACAGCTGAAGATTATCTTACAAAATCAAACTAGTTCACAGGAGCATAATGAGTGATATCAAAGAAAGACACGGCAAGGGGGAAAGGAGGAGCCACGTCACGATGTCACAACGTGCAGTCTCGATACTCCGAGACCACCATTGACACTTTTGCCACTGGATGGTCCATTGAGACCTAAACTGTCCCATAGAGACAGTGATCAGGAAGACAAAGCCTTGCTGGTCTCAGGGACATCGCAAAGTCCCTGATTGACCCAAGGAAAGCGCTTCAAGCCGGCGGTAAACAGGAAGCCCCCAGGCTGATGAAGTCGGGACAGCTCCAGAAGGAAGGAAGTGAAAAGAGAAAGTGAGTCCATCTGGTGAAGTATTTTTTCTATTTTGCGAAAGACTGCCCAAAGAAATTTTTCTTTAAAGCCGAATTAGATCCTTAAGCAAAAAAATTGTGGAGAAATTAATCCTAATTGGATTGCTTTGGAAAGCTTTTTTTTTTCCTTTGTAACTATTCTTTGTGGATTTCTCTTCTTAAAGTGAACAGATTGATTTTTTCTTTTTCTACTTTTTGTTGCTTTATTTTTTGACTTCTGGATTAAAACCGTCCTTCTTATTTTAAC